AAACATCTTCATTTCATGTCATTAAACATAACAATATTGCTGGCCATACACTGATGAGAAAGTGAGTCCGGTGTGCGATACTTGGAGTTGTCCTAGACGTGGCGCAGCGCTGTGCTTCTCATTCGGTGTGCGACCCCCTTTACGGATGTGTATTTCACTGCCACTTCAATTCACTGTTCACACACACACACAAAGTCCCCACTTGGTTGGATAGATATCATTCAGAAAGTTCCCTCTTGGCTAGTGTGCAGCGACACTGCTGTGTTAATACATGTATATGTTAGTAATATAGACGTGTGTGCAATGGCACATAACTATGGCAAGTGAATTGTTAGGGACTGCATAACAAAGCATAGAAAGTATATATGAAGAGAGAGCGTTAAATAAGAAAAATAGTATATATATATATATATACATAATGTATATAATAGATATATAATTTAACTGTAATGAAGACATATTTCACTGCCAGTTCACACACACAAAGTCCCCACTTGGTTGGATAGATATCGTTCAGAATGTCCCCTCTTTGCCAGTGTACAGCGACACTGCTGTTAGTAGTATAGAAATATATAGTTTTAGATCGGTAAGATTGTTTATGTTTTTAAAAGAAGTCTCTTCTGCTCACCAAGGCGGCAATTATTTGATAAAAAAAACAGTAATATTGTGAAATATTATTACAATTTAAAACAGCGTTTTTCTATGTGAATATATATATATATATATATATATATATATATATATATATATATATATATATATATATATATATATATATATATATATATATATATATATATATATAATAGATATATAATGTAAGCGTAATTAAGAAAGATTTCACTGCCAGTTCACACACACACAAAGTCCCCACTTGGTTGGATAGATATCGTTCAGAATGTCCCCTCTTTGCCAGTGTACAGCGACACTGCTGTTAGTAATATAGAAATATATAGTTTTAGATCGGTAAGATTGTTTATGTTTTTAAAAGAAAGTCTCTTCTGCTCACCAAGGCTGAAATTATTTGATAAAAAAAAACAGTAATATTGTGAAATATTATTACAATTTAAAACAGCGTTTTTCTATGTGAATATATATATATATATATATATATATATATATATATATATATATATATATAATGTATATAATAGATATATAATGTAAGCGTAATTAAGAAAGATTTCACTGCCAGTTCACACAAACACAAAGTCCCCGCTTGGTTGGATAGATATCGTTCAGAATGTCCCCTCTTTGCAAGTGTGGAGCGACACTGCTGTTAGTAATATAGAAATGTATAGTTTTAGATCGGTAAGATTGTTTATGTTTTTTAAGAAGTCTCTTCTGCTCACCAAGGCGGCAATTATTTGATAAAAAAAAACAGTAATATTGTGAAATATTATTACAATTTAAAACAGCGTTTTTCTATGTGAATATATTATATATATATATATATATATATATATATATATATATATATATATATATATATATATACAGTGCCTTGCGAAAGTATTCGGCCCCCTTGAACTTTTTGACCTTTTGCCACATTTCAGGCTGCAAACATGAAGATATAAAACTGTAATTTTTTGTGAAGAATCAACAACCGGTGGGACACAGTCATGAAGTGGAACGAAATTTATTGGATATTTCAAACTTTTTTAACAAATAAAAAACTGAAAACTTGGGCGAGCAAAATTATTCAGCCCCCTTAAGTTAATACTTTGTAGCGCCACCTTTTGCTGCGATTACAGCTGTAAGTCGCTTGGGGTATGTCTCAATCAGTTTTGCACATCGAGAGACTGAAATTTTTGCCCATTCCTCCTTGCAAAACAGTTCGAGCTCAGTGAGGTTGGATGGAGAGCGTTTGTGAACAGCAGTTTTCAGTTCTTTCCACAGATTCTCGATTGGCTTCAGGTCTGGACTTTGACTCGGCCATTCTAACACCTGGATATGTTTATTTGTGAACCATTCCATTGTAGATTTTGCTTTATGTTTTGGATCATTGTCTTGTTGGAAGACAAATCTCCGTCCCAGTCTCAGGTCTTTTGCAGACTCCATCAGGTTTTCTTCCAGAATGGTCCTGTATTTGGCTCCATCCATCTTCCCATCAATTTTAACCATCTTCCCTGTCCCTGCTAAAGAAAAGCAGGCCCAAACCATGATGCTGACACCACCATGTTTGACAGTGTGGATGGTGTGTTCAGGGTGATGAGCTGTGTTGCTTTTACACCAAACATAACGTTTTGCATTGTTGCCAAAAAGTTCAGCACCTTCTTCCACATGTTTGGTGTGTCTCCCAGGTGGCTTGTGGCAAACTTTAAACGACACTTTTTATGGATCTCTTTAAGAAATGGCATTCTTCTTGCCACTCTTCCATAAAGGCCAGATTTGTGCAGTATATGACCATTGTTGTCCTATGGACAGAGTCTCCCACCTCAGCTGTAGATCTCTGCAGCTCATCCAGAGTGATCATGGGCCTCTTGGCTGCATCTCTGATTAGTCTTCTCCTTGTATGAGCTGAAAGTTTAGAGGGACGGCCGGGTCTTGGTAGATTTGCAGTGATCTGATACTCCTTCCATTTCAATATTATTGCTTGCACAGTGCTCCTTGGAATGTTTAAAGCTTGGGAAATCTTTCTGTATCCAGATCCAGCTTTAAACTTCTCCACAACAGTATTTTGGACCTGCCTGGTGTGTTACTTGTTCTTCATGATGCTCTCTGTGCTTTAAACGGACCTCTGAGACTATCACAGAGCAGGTGCATTTATACGGAGACTTGATTACACACAGGATTCTATTTATCATCATTAGTCATTTAGGTCAACATTCAGGATCATTCAGAGATCCTCACTGAACTTCTGGAGAGAGTTTGCTGCACTGAAAGTAAAGGGGCTGAATAATTTTGCTCACCCAATTTTTTAGTTTTTTTTTTGTTAAAAAAGTTTGAAATATCCAATAAATTTCGTTCCACTTCATGATTTTGTCCCACCTTTTGTTGATTCTTCACAAAAAATTACAGTTTTATATCTTTATGTTTGCAGCCTGAAATGTGGCAAAAGGTCGAAAAGTTCAAGGGGGCCAAATACTTTTGCAAGGCACTGTATATAATGTATATAATAGATATATAATGTAAGCGGAATTAAGAAAGATTTCACTGCCAGTTCACACACACACAAAGTCCCCGCTTGGTTGGATAGATATCATTCAGAATGTCCCCTCTTTGCCAGTGTACAGCAACACTGCTGTTAGTAATATAGAAATATATAGTTTTAGATCGGTAAGATTGTTTATGTTTTTAAAAGAAGTCTCTTCTGCTCACCAAGGCTGAAATTATTTGATAAAAAAAAACAGTAATATTGTGAAATATTATTACAATTTAAAACAGCGTTTTTCTATGTGAATATATATATATATATATATATATATATATATATATATATATATATATATATATATATATAATGTATATAATAGATATATAATGTAAGCGTAATTAAGAAAGATTTCACTGCCAGTTCACACACACACAAAGTCCCCGCTTGGTTGGATAGATATCGTTCAGAATGTCCCCTCTTCGCCAGTGTGGAGCGACACTGCTGTTAGTAATATAGAAATGTATAGTTTTAGATCGGTAAGATTGTTTATGTTTTTTAAGAAGTCTCTTCTGCTCACCAAGGCTGCAATTATTTGATAAAAAAAAACAGTAATATTGTGAAATATTATTACAATTTAAAACAGCGTTTTTCTATGTGAATATATATATATATATATATATATATATATATATATATAATGTATATAATAGATATATAATGTAAGCGGAATTAAGAAAGATTTCACTGCCAGTTCACACACACACAAAGTCCCCACTTGGTTGGATAGATATCATTCAGAATGTCCCCTCTTTGCAAGTGTACAGCGACACTGCTGTTAGTAATATAGAAATATATAGTTTTAGATCGGTAAGATTGTTTATGTTTTTTAAGAAGTCTCTTCTGCTCACCAAGGCTGCAATTATTTGATAAAAAAAACAGTAATATTGTGAAATATTATTACAATTTAAAACAGCGTTTTTCTATGTGAATATATATATATATATATATATAATGTATATAATAGATATATAATGTAAGCGTAATGAAGAAAGATTTCACTGCCAGTTCACACACACACACAAAGTCCCCACTTGGTTGGATAGATATCATTCAGAATGTCCCCTCTTCGCCAGTGTACAGCGACACTGCTGTGTAGCAATATAGACATGTATATGTTTGAGCATTATATAATGACACACCCACACACACACACATATATGTGTATAAGTATGTATAAGTTACAAAATGAAGACAAGATTTCACTGCCAGTTCACTTCACTGTTCACACAGACATACAGTTCAATTGCAGGCTATATGAGTCCCCTGTTGGTAAGGTAGACATCGGCCAGAGTTTCAGGTCCCCACTTGGCATGTTTTTTTAAAAATAAAAAAATGCATATTTAAAGTTATATTATGAAAAAAGACCTTAAAAGAGAATTTTGTACGTCATTTTTGTTTCTTCAAAATGACCAGAAACACTAGTCCCCTCTTGGCCAGTGTAGAGTGATAGTCCCCTTTTAGTAATATAGACGTGTATGTGTGTGTGTGTGTGTGTGTGTGTGTGTGTGGCATTGATAACACTATGAATTAATAAACTATTTGTTTGTTTTTATCTAGCTTTCAAACTTAATTTGTTTATCGCGAGTCATGTGAAAGAGCATTAATTGTTCAAACCATGTTTTCATGATGAGAGTTTTGAACTTTTTTTTACTTCAAATATAAACTCAACTGATAAATCATGAACAACACCATGGTCACAGGTTTGATTCGCAAGGATAGTGATGGTGAAAACATCTGTCAAATGCATATGTAAATCCATAAGAAATAATCATGTAGCTCCTGTTAGTTGCACTGTTTGATTCTTGCTCTAAATTAAATTGTATTTATTTTGCCTTTATTACAGACTGCACTTGATCAAATCACTCATAACAGAGAAGTGATTTCCGGTTATGAAAATCATCACAATGAAACCGGTAAGTTCAAGAGCTGTAATTTATAGATAATAAGTTCTATGTCACTCTGCAGCTCATTGTTTGTTTTGTAGTGCATTTTACTGAGACAAGATGTTTAATTAACGATATAAGAATTTTAATTTTTGCCTCTTGCTTCCAGAGGAGGAAGAGTATTATCCAAGGCTCTCAACTAAAGAACTGGCACAGCATTTTGAAAAGACCATCGAGGAGGCAGCCCCCAGCAAGAAAATTAAGGTAAGTCCTTTAGCCCACATCTCTACTCTGACACATGAATGTATTATGCTTTAATAGGATTCAGTGCATAAAAAGACTCTACTTACTATCTTTTTTGATGTTTCCATGAGTACCTCCACTTTCAACAGCATAGTTTTATTGAGAAATAGTTCTTAAGACTTTAGAGCCTGTGTTCAGCTCTCAGTGTATTGATGTTGTTATTGTTAACCCACTATACATCTGATATGGAGTTATTTTTGTGTCTTTATTGTGCATCCAAAAAATTCAAACCAGTGATGGTTCAGACTCAAAGTCTTGCTCTGAACACTTTTTTTTTAAAGGAGTAGTTCACTTTTGCTGATAATTTACTCACCCCCATGTCATCCAAGATGTCCATGTCTTTTTTTCTTCAGTCGAAACGAAATTAAGGTTTTTGATGAAAACATTCCAGAATTTTTCTCCATATAATGGACTTCGATGGGAACCAAACTTTTCAAAATGAACGAATCTTTTCCCGAGTCAACTCGTTCATTTCGTACATTGAATGAACCAAATGACAAGAAAAAGATTCGTTTATTTTGATAAACGAGTTCGAACAGGAGAGTCACGTACGTGCATCACAGAACAGAGCAAGTAGAGCATTTGAGCTTATAAAACTTAAACTTTTTTATTTATTTTTGAAATGAGTGATCGTTTCGCTTGATAAGACCCTTATTCATCATCTGGTGTCGTTTAAAGCCCTTTGAACAGTTTGCAGTTTGCACTGAAACTGTCTTTTGGACCTTTAACTTTTTGGTTCCCATTGAAGTCCATTATATGGAGAAAATTCCTGGAATGTTTTCATCAAAAACCTTAATTTCTTTTCAACTGAAGACAGAATGACATGGACATCTTGGATGACATGAGGGTGAGTAAATTATCAGCAAAAGTTTTTTTTAAAGTGAACTACTCCTTTAAGCGGTAAGAGTGACTTTGAGTGTGAACCATCACTTTTGAAATGCAAGTAAACTGATCTCTCAAACTATATACATATATAAAGATAGTATCTTTAATACAATTTCATATTTTTTTTTAGATATGAACACATTACTAGTGAAAAATACACTATATTAAAGATACAGTTTATGAAAATATGTCTTACTGTCCTGTGCAATCAGTGTACAATAAGTTATATATTTTTTTAAAGATTTTGACATATTTTACTTGGGGGGGGGGGGGGGACATTTTTATTGTGCTATAATTTTCACGTTTAGTCCATTGATATTGATAGTTTTACAGAGGTGTGTCTAATATGTTCATGAAGTTGTTTTTAAGTGTAACTTAAGTGCATCTTCTTTTTAGTAAATGAATAACACTTTCAAATGCAGAGCGCACAGCTGCTGTTGAGCAGTTTTAATATGATCACATTTCTTGAAATGGTGTGAGGAACTGCTCTTTATTTAGAAAAAAACCCTTTGAAATTGAAGTAAAATTGTTTCTCACGCAAAACATTTTTAGACACACAAGAGAAAAAAAGATTTTGAGCTTCAAAACAAATATGTATTTTTTGCTTGCAAAAAAAAAAAAAGCACAATAAGGATGCAAAAATACTGGAAAGGCCTTTGAAATAAATTGCTATGATTTTGAACACTCAATTAAAAAAATGAAAGCACTTTTCTACGCCAGCTGGTCCAGCTGAAGTAATTTCAGAACTCCTCTGAATTAAATGTGTTACTCTCTCCCTAAAAAAGATTGAATGCGACAAAAGCCGTTCACAGCTGCCATCAGATGCGAGTGCGTCCAATCAAACTGTGAAGAGTGAGACATCAAGGTCTCTGAACAGTGTTGCCACATACAAAGCAGAAGAAGATAAACCAAGTTCTGTGTTGGCTTTTGATGACGACGACGATGATGATGATGATGAAGATCTGGAATATCTCCCACCGCCCCCACCGGACTTACTGGAGGAGGAACCTTCGGACGATCCAGAGAACTTCCCTGACCCTCCCGCAGTGAATCGCATGGTAAACAGAGAGCAATACTTCAGACAGAGAGAGCTATTGGAGTTGAAACGTCTCTGCAAACACATTCACCCTGATGTCAGGAAAGACCTGGAAAAAGAATTCTACAATGATGAGGACATTGAAGCGGTAGGAGACGTTCAAGAGGTAGCGTACCAGTTTGAACACCCTGGTAGCAATTCGAACGGAAGCCCGGATCGCGAATATTTGGAGTGGGACGAGATTCTGAGAGGCGAGGTGCAGTCCATGCGCTGGATGTTCGAGAACAAACCTTTGGACTGCATTAAGAATGACTCGGATAACGAAGAGGAGAGCAAAAATATTATTCAGCAGGAAATCATCGCTGGAGGTGACGTCAGGAACACGGCTATGATGTTCGAGATGCAGCCTGAGGATACACAACAGGATTCGACTAAACGCAACTATCTGGTGAACGAAGTGGGGAAAAGAGACGTCCGCGCGGCCGCTTGGTTGTTCGAGACAAAGCCGATGGATACGCTGAATAAAATTCACTCTAATGACGAGCAAACCAAAGAAGTCATCTTCACACAAGAAGCCACCGAAGGGGATGTGAAGTCTGTTAGGTACATGTTTGAAAACCAAGAAATGGATTCTCTGGGAGACACGGAAACCATGGATGAGAAGCAACTACTGAGCTTGAAGTCTGTACTGGAGGAGATCAAGTCAGAAGTGAAGAAAGTCATATGGTTGTTTGAGACGCAATTCATGTGTGTTATGAGGGAACACACCGGCGAAATGGTTCTGATCACTTCGATCCGTCGAGAGGAGACGGAGAAAGGGGATGTCAAAACTTCAAGATGGTTCTTTGAAACGCAGCCTTTGGATGACATTGACACGGATCTTTCTCAGGTCAGGCTCATCTCCAGTGTGTCCATGGAGGACAACCAACTGGACGGTGCGAAAAGGGGAAGGTGGCTGTTTGAGACCAAGAGGCTTGACTCAATAAACGCCCAGTGGGAGAGCCTGCGAAGGCAGCAGAAAGAAGAAATTCTTGGGGCGGATGTACGAAAACACTGCATGGTGTTCGAAACGCAGCCTATGGACAAGCTTAAAGATGATGCCAACTCCAGACCTGTCTCCACTGAACAGATTATCGGAGGTAATGTTCGCTCTGTGAGACACTTATTTGAAAACGCCCCACCGGACGAACTCAAAGAGCTTCCTGAGGTGGGAAAACTAAACAAAAAGGCAGTGTTTGAAGAAGGAAAGGGTGATGTAAGACACCAGAAATGGGTGTTTGAGAATAAACCACTGGAGAACATCAAAGATGAGAATGATGAGGTGAACCGACTCAAGAAAACCATAGCGTCTGATGAAGAACGAGGTGACGTGCGATATCAAAGATGGCTGTTTGAGAACCAACATTTGGAAGACATTCAAGAGGAAAAGAGAGCGTTCATGAAAACAATTGATTCTGAACAAATGGAGATGAGCTACATGGGGGATGTCCGCAGAAACTGTTGGGTGTTTGAGACGCAGCAGATGGATACGTTAAAGGACGATTCCAATGCCAGGCCAGTTAGTGCAGAGGAAATAATTGGAGGTGACGTTCAATCTGCCAGACACTTTTTTGAGACCGCTCCGAAAGATGAGATAAAAGAGCTTGCGGAGGTGGGGAAACTCCACAGAATGGTGACATCTGAGGAGAAGGGAGATGTTAGACACCAGAAGTGGCTGTTTGAGAGCCAGCCGCTGGAGCACATCAGAGAGGAGAAAAAGGAAATGACTAGAACGGTGAACATGGAGGATGTCGAGAATGTGGATGTGAGCAATTACAAGCAAATCTTCGAAACGTACGATTCAAGCCAATGTGACGAAAGTCGGAAGATTCAACTTGAGGGCGTCACCGCCGGCTCCGTGAGATCAAATAAAGATTTATTTGAGTCCATGCCGTCGTATGCTTTGCAAGACAGCTCCGGACATTACCACGAAGTTAAAACCGTACGTCGGGAAGAAATCGTCAAAGGAGATGTTAAAAGCTGCCGGTGGATGTTTGAAACTCGGCCAATTGACCAATTCGACGAGAGCATCACCAAATTCCAAATCATAAAGGGCATAACCCAACAAGAGGTAGAATCTGGAGATGTCAAGATGGCGAAATGGCTTTTTGAAACCCAGCCTCTCGATGCCATTAAGTATTTTAGCAACATTGAAGACGAGGAGTGCGTCGCTGAAGAAACAGCAGAAATCGTGAAAGGCGATGTTAAGACATGTAAGTGGCTTTTTGAGACCAAACCTATAGACATGCTTTACGAAAGAGATGAGTTTAAGAGTGCCAAAGATTATGGTGAAATTCAAAAAGGGGATGTGAAAACATGCACTTGGCTTTTTGAGAATCAGACCCTTGGTGCCATGCAGGATAACTCTGAGACGGTGTTGCAAACTCGCACCGTGAAACAAGAGGACATTCACGGGAAAGATGTCCGCATGGCACGTTTCCTCTTCGAGACAGAGAACATTGCTGGAGAAAAGCAAGAAGCTTTTAAGAGTGTGACTGAGATAGACATACAATCCGGGGACGTGTCTCGGATGAAATACATATTCGAGACCCGATCTTCTGACGTGGTGAGCTCAACCTCTGAGGACGTCATGAGACAGCTGAGGAGTGCTCAAGCGGAGGATGTTCAGAAAGGAAATGTTGGAAACTGCAAATGGCTATTTGAAAACCAGCCCATCGATGCAATCTCAGAGAGCCCTAGCGAGCTGAAATTAGCTCGCACAGTACAAGATGTTCAGGGAGGCAATGTCGATAAAGGCAGATTCGTTTTTGAAACCTACTCGTTAGATAAGATTCAAGACGTGTCCTCCGAGGCCGAATTGAAAAAGCTGCAGAAAGTCATCAGAGAGGATGAGGAGAAAGGAGATGTGAAATCATATGCCATGATGTTTGAAACTCAACCTCTTTATGCCATCCAAGACAAAGAAGGCCATTATCATGAAGTGACCACACTTACAAAAGAAGAAATACAAAGAGGTGATGTAGTAGGAGCCCGCTGGCTGTTTGAAACAAAGCCCCTGGACTCGATTAAAGAGACGGATGAGGTCTACCTCTTAAAAGCTGTTACAGAGGAAGATATCCACAAAGGTGATGTCAGCTCGGCGAGGTGGAGGTTTGAAACCCAGCCCCTTGACAAGATTGCAGAAGATGCGAAAATATCAATCAAAACCGTCGAGGACATTCAGGGAGGAGATGTTAAGACAAACAAGCATCGTTTTGAGTCTGATGCAGTGGCTCAAAAATTGGTGCGTACTGTCAGCATGAGTGAAATTCATAAAGGGGATGTTAGGACAGCAAAATGGATGTTTGAAACTCACACAATTGACCAGATACATGCTGAAAAGTCAGAAGATGAGATGAACACCGTTGTTATGGAGGAACAACTGAAGGGGGATGTTAAACAGTCCGTGTGGCTGTTTGAAAAGAATCCGCTTGATCTTATTAACGACAGTGACGAAAGTAAACAGGTCATTTGTGAAGACATCCCCAAAGCAGATGTAAAAACCACGACATGGCTTTTTGAGACAACACCGTTCACTGAATTTAATGAGAGCACTTTAGAGAAGACCGAAATCATCGGTAAAAGTGTCAAAGCCACCCTCGATGAACTTTACACCCAGAGAATGGTGGACTCCAAAGGCATCATCTTAGAGGCAGACGAAATCGGAGACGTTCGCATGGCTAAGTACAACCTCATGAATAAAGAAGCTCCCCAAATCCAAAGAGAAGAAATCATTAAAGGGGATCTGCAAAGCATCATGCTTAACCTCCTCAACAGACAGGAGAACACAGAGAGGAAAGTCATTATAAATGCAGAGGAGAGGGGGGACATCAGCCGCACCGTGCAACAGCTGCTGCAAGAGCGCAGTGGCACCTCTGTAGAAAAAGAGGAGATAATAAGAGGTGACATTCAGGAAGCCATAAACAACCTGCTGAAAGAGGAGAGCACTGGCAAACGGGGAATTCTCATTCAAGAAGACGAAAAGGGGGATATTCGTATGACCATCTACTCTTTATTCAATTCTCATGAGGAATCAAGCATTCAGAAAGAAAATATAGTCAGAGGTAATGTGAAAGGCTGCCTAGAGAGACTGTGCAATCCAGACACAGATGAGATTGCGAGAATTAAAGTGGATGAAGCCGAAAGGGGAAAGGTGAGCTTTTATTCTACTTGCATTGAGTCTGGTGCGCTGGATTACCTCAAAAAGCTGCAGGTAGAGCCAGACGAGGCCGTTCCAGGTAAAATTGAAAAAGAGGAAATCATCGGTGGTGATATTAAAGAGACAAAACTCAGCCTGACATGTAATCAAGCTCAAATCGGTCGTCTGGTGGACATGGAAGATATAGTCCCCGGCGATGTTCATAACACAGTTAAGGTTTTCATGACCGAGCCTCCAATCTCATTTGAACATTTACAGAAAGAGGAGATCGTGAGAGGAGACCTGCAAGCAACGCTGAATTCACTGGCGCAGTCCGTAAACCAGGCAGTCGTTTTGGAGAAAGAAGAAGTTGTTCGGGCTGACTTACCTACAACGCTGAGGTCTCTAGAGGAGGCCCAGAATCAGCCCAAAGAGGTGGAAAAGCCCGAAATCATTCCCGGGAACATCAAAGGAGCACTAAAATCACTCAAAGACTCCACTTCCACCAAGGTGGAAATTGTCGTAGAAGATTTATTGCCAGGTGACATCAAAGGTACGCTGAAATCGCTGGAGGAGGCCAAACATGCCGTGAGAGAAGTGGAGAAGGAGATCATTGTAAAAGGTGACATTCACACGGCAATACAAAGTCTACAAGAAGCGTCGAGCGAGAGAAAGGTTTACCAGCAGGAGATTGGTGTCCAGGGAGATGTAAAAGGCAAGATTCAGATCTTACTCGAGCCTCCTCCATCTCCCAGAATGCAACGCAGGGCAAGCACGGAGGGAGACGTGAAGCTTTCTATAAAATCACTCTATGACACCCAAGAGCAAGTGCAATCAGAGAAAGAAGAGGTGATAAAAGGAGACGTTAAGGGCACAATAAAATCTTTAATGGAAACAGCACGCAGAGCGAGCCCGACGATTCCCCGAAGGGAGCCAATAAGAAAGGTCAAAGTTCCAGTCAAGACCACGTCTCCGTCGGTGAAAGACATCACGGCGCCTGCAGTTAAAAACCTTGATATGAGCAGTGAATTACAGAGGAGCACTCACAAGCAATCAATGCAAAACAGGTACGCATCTCAGGAGAGCACTGCAATCACAACATGCAGCCAGGAGACAAAGACCACAGTGCTGGAGCACAAAACAATTGTGCAAACACACGGTGTCAAAACATTAAAGACTGACTTCCGTAACCTCAAAAAAAAGGGTGGCTGTAAGGGTTTAATCAGACTGGACAAAAGAAAACAGAAGGAAATGTCTGTTCCACCTCCTCCCTCTGACCCTGAACTCCCACTGCCTCCCCCTCCATCACCCCCTCTGGAATATGATAGCGCCTCATTTCCCACTCCTCCTCCTGGCATCAGGGGTGAACATGATTTTCCTCCTCCTCCTCCTCCGCCGCCTTGCGATCCACCCAAGACAGAACTTGAACATTTACCTCCTCCACCAACCCCACCACCTCCTCTCGTTTCAGCCACAGCTGAGCTAGACCTCCTCCCTCCCCCTCCCACAGAGCAGGAGCTAAACTTCCTTCCGCTGCCTAGCATAACACCATCCAAAGCCACTAAAATGACTGTCAAACCCATCAAAGCACCAGTGTTGTGCAAAGTACCCAAGCTTGAGCCAGCAATTTCATTTGAGAAAATGCAGGCAGCTCAAGAGACCAAGCGCAGAAAAAATGTCACCGCATCATCAGTCGAGTGCAGCGTGAAATCTTCTGAAGTTCAGTCTGCTTTTACAAGACAGCCACCGGAGTCTCCGCGGCCTCCCAAGAAAGTTTTCGCCCCCTTGACACTCACTCCACCCGCCTCTCCTCCTCCACCGTGCAAATCCCCAGTAAGCAAATTCAAAACCCCATTAATGCAAGCTGAACAGAAGTACAGACAGAAGAGGGAAGAAAGCTGCACGCCACCACCGTCGCGCTCCCCGGCCTTTGAAATCCGCATGCACGAGTCAGTCAGCGCAGCCCTTGAAAGGCTTTCTTCAGAAAGCACGGGCACGGTGCAATCAGAGGCGAGCATGTCATTTGATTTCACTCAAGAGAGAGCTCAAAAGAGTGTGACCAAATTTGAATCAGCTGCAGACTCATGTGATTCATCCAAGCACACAGCTCTCTCAAACGCTCCCCCAAGCAAGGCTTTGATCGCTGCTGCAAATGAGAAATCTCCTCTAGAATCTCCTTTTATTTCCTCAGTTAAACAGAGCATTATCTCTAATCAGTCATCTCAGGGCTCTCCGGATCAGCAGCAGACCACCTCCACTTCATCTAAAAAGAAAAAGAAGAGATCCATGACAACTAATATACAACAGGTGACGAGGACGGTTATTAATAGCACGACCGGAGAAGAAATAAAGGCCTCTGTCAAAACAGACGAACCTCAGAGCGTCTCTAAAAATGTATCAGAGGCTGTCGGAAAGGATGTGAGCGGCATATCTTTATCCGAGGGCAAAGCAAAAGAGGAAAGCTCGGCAAAGAAAAATCAAGACAAAAACTTCCCTGATCGATCCGAGCCAAACAAAGACAGTCAAATTAAGGATGCCGAGCAGAAGCCGCAAAAGGTCGACGGTCAAAAGGCAAAGAAAGTTAGTAAGAGCGCTAAAGTGGAGAGCAAAGAGAAAACCACAGATGAGGAGGATCATGTTCAGGTAAAAGAAAGAAGCCCCCCGGAAACAGAGGGTAAAGAGGAGAAACCTGTAGGGGAGCCCCCTGCCACTCCGAAAAAGAAAAGGAGGAGTAAGAGTAAGAATAAAAAAGACAGAGAGGCAGCTCAAGGCAACAACGTCACATCCCTCTCGCCCACAGAGGCCACGCCTGCCGAGCCCAAGTGGCCAGTCTCGACATCCGATAAAAAACGAGAGGAAATCGCTGTTTTGCAAACACAGCGCACCATTCAAACGGGACACGTAGAGGTCATCGAAACTCAAAGTACGGTCCAGCAGCAGAGTTTCCAGGAGGAGGGCTTGACTGTGAAATTTCAAAAGCTGGCCGGTGGAAGCCAGCAGATTCCTGAGGAATCAAAAGATGAAAGAAGAAACGTCCCAATCAAAATGACAGGGAAATCTGCACAAAAGGAGTCCTCGGCTGAAGCGCTGAAGATGTTGTCTCGTATCTCAGAGTTACAGGCGATTTCAGGAAAAATGGACTGTAAGTCTGTGAAGACGTTGCTCAATGAGATGCCCGTCTGGCTTTTGGGCTCGGGGGAGAAGAGTGATTTGGAAGCGGCGGCGGCCGAACACAACGAACAAAAGCTCACAGAAATCCTTGCTCATGTTAAAAGCCTGGTTCAAGCTAGGCTAATGCACTTTGACGGCGCTATTGAAAAGCATGAGTGTGAGGACACCTCTGAAAAACTTGTCTCACAAAGGATTTCAAAGATTTCCATTGGTTCTACGAAGTGTAAAACGCAGATGGTGGTCAAGGAGGAGACGAAGACGACGCGCAAGAGCCGAAAGCAACAAACGAGCAGCGTTACAACCCTTGACCCGAGAGCTCCATCCCCATTGTTACGGATGCGCTCCCCCTCACCCACATTTATCACCATCGAGTCTACGAAGAGAACTGACTCGCCACAAAGAGCAGCACCCTCGCCTTCCCCGATGCCACCGACGCCACCACCACGTAGGTCTGAGACGCCAAGCTCTCGCTTAAGCAGGGCCACTCCTTCACCCTCATTGGGCCGGGCAGATAGTCTGACACGACTGAGAAACGCCACAGCTACGCTCTCCCGTGGAGCTTCGCCCGATCCGGTGCCTCGCGTGATCGAAGTCACTGGAAAGAAGTCTGAAATCGTGGAATCCCCTGCCACATTTCATCGGCAGATCAACATCGAGTCTAAATCTGCTGAGAAGAAAAGGCTCAAAGAGACTTTGAGATCTTTTGAAACAGCAGTGGTGATTAATGAGAGTGTAAGTGGAGATGCTCTTGACATTCTTGAGCGTTTAGGCCCCAACACAGAGGTCAAAAAGTCTGAAAGTGCGGTGAAAGAGAAGGAAAATCTCTCTAAGGTGGAAATATCTGGATTAGCCGAAACAATTGAGACGTCAGAGAGGAAAGTTGGTATTGGAAAAGACCCAGTTGACAAAACAGAGAAGCCTAGCTGGAAAACTGAGGACCTGGAGCTTGATATGGAAAAGAAAGCAAGCCAACAAGAGGATGTACCTGCTTTCAACATCAAGGATATTAAAAATGTTTTTGAAATGAGTGAGCAAAGTTCCCCCATCAAAGCGCTACAAAACAAACAGGAGGAACAGCAGTCAAGAGTGAGTGAAATTGCATCTGAAGGTTCAAAGCCTGAGCTTCCTCCTGAGAGAGAACAATGCTCCCAGCTGAGCTCCCCTCCACCCGTGTGCAAAGACGTGAAAGCAGACAAGTCTGTCAATCCAACGGGCTTTTCGGAGACGAAAGCATTCATTGAAAATTATTCTTCTGTTGACGAGTTTGGCACTAAAATCGTCGGATCAAGAAGCACCACGACGGTTTCCAAGCACACTCAAAGCGTTACGACGCAACGGGTGCCTTTTTCCTATGCTGATGCTGTGAAGAAAAAGACGCCAGAGGTCAAGGTGTCACCTGAGGCCTCTGCAGAGGAACTGATGAAGAACTTCCACAAAACATGGGCGGAAAGTGAGAGTGTGTTCAAAAGCTTAGGTGTCACAGGTGAGAGAGCCATGCCACCCGCTAATGCATCAAACCGAGAGTGCTGTGTCGGGTAAATGTGCCTGCAGTGCATGATGGGAATGAAATTTAACAACAAACCACCACAAACCACCTGAGGTACATTGCTGTGACAGACTGAGTGTTTTTAACTTTTGTTTTTCCCAGTAGATAATCCACAGTTAGATGAGTAGACACGTGTGTGTATGAAACAAATGTGACTCACTGCATTTTTTTTGCATGTTAACAGTATAAAAGTTATCTTGAGTTTAAATGAGTTTGTTAATTTGATCCTTTTTTTTTAATGTGTTTGTACCTGACACTTTACTGAAATAGAATTTTATTTTGTATATATATATATATATATTAGGGCTGGGCAACCAAAATAAAAGTTTGTATTTAATAATATATATGTGTATAATTATTTTTTATATATAAATACACACACATGCATGTATATATTTAAGAAAAATGTGTTATTAATATATTAATTTTTTATATTTATACTTAATATTAATTATGTATAAATAAATATAAAATATATACATGAAAATTTTTCGTAAATATATACATGCATGTGTGTGTTTATACATAAAAAAAAATTATACACTCTACACACACATATATTATGTAAACACAAACTTTTATTTTGGATGCAATTAATCATGATTAATCATTCCCCAGCACCAACACACACACACACACACATATATATATATATATATATATATATATATATATATATATATATATATATATATATATATATATATATGAAGAGTTCAGATGCAAAAGCCTCTAAATGCCATTTGAAATTTTCTTCTTGAATGATGATTTTTATCAAACTTGTATATTTAAGTTCAGTAATTTCACTTAAATAACAATTAATAGGTAATTATCATTGCCATTTAAGTGAAATTACTGAACTTAAATATACAAGCTTGATAAAAATGATCATTCTAGAAGACAATTTCAAATGGCACTTAGAGGCTTTTGCATCTGAACTCTTCATATATATATATATATGTGTGTGTCCTTTATTTATTATTATTAGTTCATTTTGTATTTTATTATTTTGGAATACCCCACATACATTGTTTCATACTCTCTGACATATATAGCTAAAATATGTGTTTTTTTAATTTCTTAAATTTTTTTTTACACCACACATATATTTCTTCATACTATCTGATATATATCACTAAAATAGGGTCCATGAGGAATCACAGTCTGGGGAGCAGCCTACACTTCTTTATTAGCCAATCAGAAATGCTTTCTACCTACTCTCGCTTAAAGCACCTTAAAAAATCTAAACAGATTTATCAACTTAGAATTTCAAAATTCTCAATAACACTGAGTGCTTTCTCCATAATTGCTATTCATCTCTGTCTCATTAGCATTTGAGAGTGCTGCAAGAATCAAATGTACTTTAAAAGCAAAATGTTTTTTGGGATTGATATGCAGAATGCCAAATGAAGGGAAACAAAGCCTTATTTGTGTTCCTCTGTATGACCTGAGAAAAGGCAGCTTGGCTTTGTGTTTCTTTTTATAGCCTGTCTGTGAGCTTGCATGATATTACATTCCCCACAATAACACAAATTATAACCCAATTCTTATTCAGACTATTGCATTTTGAACTAAACTAACCAGGTTACCTAAAAACATTGTGCAAATAATTTAATAAAATGAAGAAATAAAAAACAACCATTTTTGTGTAAATACTCAAGATATTTAAAGAGATAGTTCACTTAGAAATTAATTTTTGATATGTTTTATCTTACCTCAAGGGCATCCAAGATGTAGGTGTCTTTGTTTCCACAGTATTTTCAATTTTGACATTTTCCAGTCAAACCGTTCTTGTCTGTCAGTCATATAATGGAGGTCTATGGTCACCACCTCAAAGAGCAATGTGCAATGTCCAACTGAACCGAACTGAATCAGTTCAATGTTACGCCGGAAGTGATCGCTTGCGTGTGACGTCACTCAATATTTACACGGAGATTTCGGAAGTTTTACCTTTTACTAAACATATTTAGATATACCGAAATCGTCTTCCATTGCAGTTTCTCGTATATCTAGATATGTTTAGTGAAAGGTAAAACTTCCGAAATCTCTGTATAAACAAAGAGTGACGTCAGCGCGCAAGCAATCACTTCCGGCGCATGCGCAGACCGAAACGCTCGTGCCGTCAAATCATTTTGTCATGGCTATGATTACAAGAGGTAAAAACGATATAAATACTGTTCATTTTCTCACACAAACCGCTCGTTTCGTGTCTTAGGCCATCAATGTGTACTTACATTTACGAGTCATTAAATCATGTTTAATTTGGACTTCTCTGTGCATGATTTTTGGTGGACTCCCTTAGCCTCCAGTGTATGACTGATAGACAACAACCGTTTGACTGAAAAATGTCAAAATTTAAAATACTGTGGAAACAAAGACACCTACATCTTGGATGCCCTTGAGGTAAGATAAAACATATCAACAATTAATTTCAAAGTGAACTATCCCTTTAATGCGCTGTAGTATTTTTATATTTGTGTTAAAGATCTCAAGTGTCACTTTATTTCCAGATTTGAGAAGTATTATTGCTTTCACTAATGCTCTTGTTTCCAGACTTGCAGTTAACCTTACATTGCAGTAGTGGATGTTATTAGGTGTGATTTGCCTGTGTTGCCCAGATGGACTGAGTGTCTGGCAAAGTGCAGCATGGGAATATTGATTGTGCACAAAAAAAAACGGAATTAAGTAAAACTTAAATGTCTCTTGCCAGATTCGAGTACCAAAGTCGGAGATGTGTGCAGTGTGCAGGAAGAGGGTTTACCCCATGGAAGGCCTGATAGCAGACAAAAAGAAGTTCCATAAATCCTGTTTTTTCTGTGAGCACTGCAAAAACAAGTTAAGGTATGCCATGAAATATTGTAAATAGTGATACTTGATTATTTATACTTAAATGGGAAGTCATTTCTTTGCTGTTTTTCACTTTTGTTGTCACATGTCGTCTCATCGAGCTCCCCCTACAGCTGTGGAGCATATCATCCACAACATTTTTGTAAAAAAACTCACCTGACTCCTTCCTCTTTCTACTGCTGCACATGACAATTTGTTATTATCGGAGCCGGCCAGCTTTTATTGTGTTGAGCCAGCCCGTTCTCATCCCAAGGCGTCATATACTGACGCTTTTGACATTTCGTATACATACAACGCACGTGGCACCCTTTAGCGTCAATATGAGACGCAGATATTTATGGGCCAGAAGGCGCCTCCTAGTGGTCTAACCCTAAACCTACCCCAGACCTAAACCTACCGTAACCGAACAAAGCTCTGTGCGTGTTATATTGACGCTAAAGGGTGCCATGTGCGTTGGATTTAGACGAAATTTTCACCGAGGTCTGTAATACACAATACATCACACAGTATCATATGGCGTATGTGTGAGAATGTCGAATTGCCATAAAGCAGTTTGTGTTTCTCGCTCGATCTCGCTTCTCACGAGACTTCCTATTTTCAACTTACCGGGATGTTAGTAGGTTGGTTTTCCGCCTGGGAACGCGGGGGAAAGTCACCATTCTCACCAGAACAGTTTTTTTAACCATCCAAATGATTTCTAAACGGTTTTATTAAGTGTAAATAGTTGCCAAGCTCCCCTTTAAGTATTTAAAGCTGTAGTCCGCAGGTTTTCCTCTTGGTCGCCATCTCTGTTCGAAATTTGCAATTGCAGTTATTTGCGGAATTAAAGGGATACTCCACTTTTTTTGGAAATAGGCTCATTTTACAACTCCCCCAAAGTTAAACAGTCGAGTTTTACCGTTTTCGAATCCATTCAGCCAATTTTCTGATTTTTAGAAGAATATCAGTAACCAGACAGTTTCTGGTCTCATTGATTTCAATAGTATATTTTTTTTCCTACTATGGAAGTCAATGGGACCAGAAACTGTCTGGTTACTGATATTCTTCTAAAAATCAGAAAATCAGCTGAATGGATTCGAAAACGGTAAAACTCAACTGTTTAACTCTGGGGGAGTTGTAAAATGAAAAAAAAGTGGACTATCCCTTTAACAACTTTACGGGAGTTGTGCCTCTGCACGGCACAGCACGTGAATCCAATGTTTTGAGGATAATGTGCAGTTGTCAGTCGCCGCACCGGTGTGGATACTGCCATTCAGAATCACAGATTATTCTTTTGGAAGTAGACCATCATAAAAATTTTCATAAAATGTCATCTGAATAAGTAAGAAACATCCACTTTTGTTCTGATCAACTAACTGAAAAAAAGCATTGCATTAAATCGCGCTGATTAAATCTAACGATCGTTTATCATATCATTATACTTTGTTCTCAAATTGTTAATGTTCAACATCAGCATTGCGTGGCTACATTTAAAGCCCATCAGATATTATCCTTGTTTTCGTATGGGCCGGTTACAGTCTCTTTTTCCAAACTCTCAGTCCACCAGTCGTCACTGGTGATTGTTGATTGAACCTTTCTGGATTCGCCATCCAATTAATACGTTTAATTATATCAAGTGCTGTGAGAAAAGACTATAAATCTCTTCCTCCAACATCCTCACACACAATATAGGTTATACTAGCCGAGACTCCTTCTTTATGTGTACAGATGTGTGTGTACAGATGTGACGTAATGGCACAAATCTCTCACGGAAATCCACCAGTACCACTGGAGTTAAAAACATTATTACAAACTTACCTTTGAATCCAGCTAAGGAAAGCAGAGCATGTTGAACACTGGCAGGTTATGTATTTTCTCAAAAATGTATTTTGGATCATTTTTAACCCCAAAAAGTTACGGACTGCAGCTTTAAATATTCTAGTACGTCTAACAATGTAAGTATCCCAACATTTTTAATTCTGAAATATTTTTTGCATAAAGTGCCATTATTTGTAACTAGAAGATAAAGTATCCTGCATAAAATCATTCATATGGAAAGCTTACTGTGCACTTGCAGACAGCCCAATATATTTTCTGTGACTCATGAATTATGAAACTCTGTTTTCTGACAGCCTTGGAAACTTTGTCTCTCTCCATGGACATTTATACTGTCAGACACATTATAAACAACTCTTCAAGTCTAAAGGGAATTTCGAGGATGGATTTGGTCGAGGATCGGCCGGCCGGGACGCAGGGAACACAGACCACGAAGAATCGGATTGGAGATATTCACTTTCCCAAAGTAGCATGTGCTCACTGCCAGACATGTTGGATAAAGAAGCAAACAAACCCGATCAAAGCCCTAACAAAATTGCTGTGGTGTGGCCCCCACAAGCAGCCTCTCTGAAGAAGTCTTTCTCTTTGGATCAGGATGTGAAATTAGTGAAACCCGCTTGGCCCCCAAAGAGCGAGACTTCGAAGTCTCCCAAGCACCAGCGTCGGAAAGCGTCTCCGAGGACCACACTTTAGCAGGAGCGCGACAAGGCCTTGGAGGAGCGAGAGAGACGTCTCATCTATCAGCGACACACAAAGCGTGTCACAACAGCAGTGAAGTATTGTGGGAACTTTAGAAACGCGAGGACACATCAAGATGATGAAGAGCTTCCAGTGCAGGGTGAAAATATCGCCGTTGGACGGGTGAGGAAAGGTGGAGAGAGAGAGACAGTGGTGGTGAAAAGGTAACAGGAAGTTGATAAGGATCATGGGAAATGACAAATATGTTGTGTCTATATAAAGCAGACGCAGGTTCAGAAGGTGTGTGTGTTATGTTGAAAGAAAGAACTATAAGAAAGTGAAATATGAAGATACCAATCTTAAATAAATAAATAAATAAATAAAAAATGTCCAGGTCACATTTTACCCCATAATCAACAAGAAAAATATGTTGCTTAAAGAAAATTAAGCCTTTTTTTAAAGACAATTACGTTTTTTTTTATCTTCGAATTTTCAAATCCCATTGTTAATGCTATAATGTGAAAATTGTTTTAAATGTTATGGTAGTATTTGTTGTGCTTTTTTATTCTGATTTAAATCTAAAATACATTTAAAAAAAATAAAATAAAGAATTTAAAATTAAAATTAAAATTTATTTTAAAATTAAAATAAAATTGTATTATACACTGTAAAAAAAATCATGATTTGTTATCATAACGTTTTTTTTTTCTTTTTTCTGTCAAACCAACTTAGATGATTTATGTGGTTCAGATAACATAATATTTTGAGTTTCTGATTATTAAATCAATCTCCTTCATTGTATTAACTTATCAATTTCAATGATCTTAAAGTTTTAAGGCAACCAGGTTACTTACAGTTAATATTTTTTTTACAGTGTAGTAATATATTTTATTTAGTTAGATTGCTGAATAATCATCATTACCGAAATAATCTCAATGCTTTAAAACAGGCTTTATTTTCCTTTTTCATGCAGAATAAAATTTCTTATTTTTATTTTTTATTTTTCTGGATGAAATGTGACCTGGCCATTATTTCATGAGTCACGCTCGTGGACAGATCTGTAATGCAGCAATTAGAAAATTTGCAGTTATTTCAATGTTTCAATATGAAATAGCTGAAATTCAATTACCAGGTGTGCCAAATATGAGGGTCATTTCCAAATCTTCTGTATTTCTGTACACTTTACCAATTTAAAAATGGTGCAAAAGCTTCTTGTTCTATTTAGGATTTATAGTTAAAATGGTCTCTGCTTTTCTTCAGTAGAAATAGATTTTCTACAATGCATTTATCCCATAAGTCCATGGAGAGAAGACAATTTATCACTAAATTGAACTGTAGATTTAAATCCCTAATTTTATTTTGTATGCCTTATAAGAATTTAATATATCCTGGGGGTTCTTTTCACATTTCAACTTTTTTTTTTTTTTTAACTTCTTCCTGTGCAGCACCCGGAGTGCTGTGTGGGAGGAAGATGAACAGTACACACATTTGTAAATCTCTTTGTCTTGTTTATAATACATGTGAATATCCATCTCTCTCTAAACAGAAAATATTTTGTGTGGAAAATGATCTTTTTAGAGTTGTCTTCGATGATTCGTCCCTGATTGTTAATTTAATAATGGAATCACAATAAAGACGTCTTGATGTCACCGTTTATGCATTCAGGTTAATTTCTTCATCTGAAATTATGACATTACTCACTCTTACGTGGTTGAAGTATTCCTTAAAAGTCTTGTTGTCTTGAAAACTATAGCGCATCAAGGTTTTTATTTTTCTAATTTAGCGAAGCACTTTTTCCCTCTTTTGAGCGTCAATGTGAGAGACCTTTGAAACAAACCGTGCTGACACATGATCACATAAACTACTGGTGATTTCAACTGCACTTCGGCTGTTATTGTGCTTTAACTGAAATCCCTCAGCATCACTCACAGTGAGAATTTCAAGGTGTAGTGGTTTAAGCAACCCCGTAAGACTGGTGTAAATCAATAGCTCTTGCTGTACAGTCGCCTTAGGGAGAAGTACTAGATTGATGGATGTTGGAACACTCAGCGCTCTTTTACAACAGCAGCTTTAAGATCTGAAAACACACTCATCCAGCGCCAGCAGGCCAGGGTCATTATCAAATGCTATGTGAATTTTTTTGATTCATCTGGAACAGATTTGGTCTCATTTGTCAGCAATAAGGTATGAGAGGCTGTGCTGTATTGTGAATAAGTATAATGGCTGAAGGGCGTTGTTAGGCATGACGCGGAGCCGAATAACCCATTCAGCTGTTACTTACTCACGATACACACGCTCTTATAAAACGGTTACCACACAATACAAATATTAAATTTAAAAAATATATATATTAGTGTAACTTTCATGAAGTAAAAGAAATAAAAGCCTTCCTTCTGCTGGAAAAAAATAGTCCCTGACCGTGAACAGCAATGGTGTAACAGAGTTTTAGAACTATAGACAAATCGGTAGACGTTCTACTTATTATAAGTAACTTTTCAACTACATGTCAAGTAACTCTCATTAGAGTATTAGTATATTAAAGTAGACTGTCAGTAGACTGTTGGGTTATGGTTAGGTGTTAGGCTTTGGGTTAGGAGAATAAGTTTACTTGTAGAAGACAAGTTACTTATAGTGAGTTGAATGCCTGTTGGGGGACCAACAACATAAAGTGTTAGCAGATATTAAGCAGACAGTCTACTAATACTCTAATGACAGTTAGTTGACATGTAGTTGAAAAGTTATTTAGTTAGAATGTCTAAAGTGAACTATCGAAATAAAGATTTATCAATCTTTCTGCATTAATACCTAAATATAAAATTTAACTAAAGTAATCCATGTTTAATCAGGCTTCGAACCCATGTCACTGTTATGTTCCAACACTCGGCCATATCCTCACTCATGCTGAGGCACCCAAACATTTGATTTTTAATCTATTGTGAATGTAGGCCTACTTTACATGAAAAAAGTAGACGTTTTAAAAGATGATTTTATTTTAGCTGTTATGAGAAAAATAAATTCAAGTCGCGTTTGTCGAACACTAATTAATGCCAGAATAAAACCCGATTTTAGAATATGCCTAGTGTGTCAAAATACTCAATTACAATCTTCAATATTTCAATATTTCGTTCAAAACCACCTCAAAACAATTTCTGACATTTTAAAAAGCCGTGAATCAATGCTTGGTTAACATTGTTTTTTAAAAAAAAAAATTCTCCCCATTGAGTTTTATTTTCTTTTTTTTTAAACATAACTGCTTTTGAAGATGTAAATTCAGTCAGTCTGTTGGATGAGATTTGTTCCTTAAGGCCATTGCACACTGAGTCTGAAATTCACATCTGAAATTTTCGCATGTTAAAAAAAAAAATTCAACCTCATGTTATGTCAATCACGCGTGCACCCCGCCTCCGAAACTTTTGTATGTCATAAAAAAAATCGGATTGGGTTCGATTTTCTGCGTTTTTCGCATCCACAGCCAGCATTTTGAGAGGTTTTTTTGACAATTCAGGACTGGGAGGAGCTCGTTCCCCACATCATTCCACATGTGCAGTGCTTTCAGTTTTCAGTTTCAATATTCGATCAAGTGTTTATGTTCTCTCGATTGGTCTCTCTATTCAGAATCGATTGGTTCACGGAAATTTGTGGTCTTGTTTTTAAAATGTGGCTCCAGAATCACAAGCAAAGCATCAAACTGTCCCACTGACATTCTGAGGTAGCCTAAATTTTGAATCGCTCGGGATAAATTCGCAACTCCTTGATAAGGAGGTGCTTCCTCTCGGCGCAATTTCAGGATTGGATGGACCCAATATTTTCTCTTTCTTCTCTCTTCAAAAAGAGAGATGGCAACAAAATCATCCTCACTGCTTTTCCAATCCATTTTGTAGGCTATTTTTGTGTTTTTTCCCGCAAAGGTTTAATAAATAGGCGTCGGACTCAGTGTGCAAGGTTTCTGTGCGTGACGAATTTTTAGGCTGACGAACACGAAAAAACGCATACGAAAATTTCGTACTCAGTGTGCATTGTTGCGTGGTAATTTTATAAATACCACGTTTATTAGGGATTTGAAACAGTGCCATCAAAATGTTTGAAACCTAAGTTCTACCACTCGACCACAACTTTTCTCACTGAGAAATGCCCAGAAGTTTGTTCACCAGGTTGTTCAGCAGTCAGTGTGCGCGCGCGAGAGAAGCGCTCTTCAATCTTCTCATTTCTCAATAGCGTCTTTGAAAGCACCCAATTTATTTTCAATGACTGCGAGATAGGCCTATTTTAACTTTCAATTCATAAAATGCTATAAACACTATATGAATATATAGCAAAAGTTTGCTATATATTCTATTTAAAATGTAGCCTACTTTTACATAATTACGTTTTGCTTTCACTAAATGTCATTTTGCGCCACCTGGTGGTCATTTCGCGAACGACTTTGAAATACGGCTGGTTTATTTTTGCCGCGGTGGTGTCTTTCTGGTTGTCCACCTACTGTATGTAGCCTAGATCTGCACATAAATGACCTATAGGCAACCTATATTTAAACAGAACTGTCATGTTCGCATGAAATACATTCCCTTTAAAAATAAATGAATTCTGGAAGAGCTGAATATGTCTCACAAGCTCTAGTTCTAAATTATCTATGGAAACTGATGTGGTATGTATCATAGGCCTACTCTCGTCTCGTCAGCTCTCCATAGTTTTCTGGACTCACTAT